CAGGTTATTATACCGAAGAAACGGGAACAAATATTTAATCCAAAAACCGCCGAGAGTGGTGAGAGTAGTGCTAGTAGTACATCAGCGAAGAAAATTAAACTGCAGAATTATAAAAATGGAAGAAAGTATTTTACCTTCATTATTAGAAATCTAATTCTGCACATACGCTACAAAAGTTTGGATGAAGTTCTCCAATGAGTACGTTAAAATTTGTTAGAGCAGCTCGACGATGATAGAAACGACAATTTCATACGATAGTAATGAGAAATAGGTATTTTTGGTCGCGGTGGCAGCGCCGCCGTTAAAGATACACAAATTACTTCAGGACCGGTAATAGGCAACAATTACAATCCTAAATCGATGTTCTGTCAGTTGGGGGCAGCTGTTTTCGAATTTATGTGTAATTACGGACACTTTCGAACACCTATTGCTCTATTTCCAGCTGGTCCTTTTATCGTTGTAGAGAAAATACGATAATCGTAGCAGTCGTTGCAGCATCCCCTTCGTATCAATGCAACTATCTAAAGGTTACCGCGATACGGAGCATCCAATTATCTCAGATTTGTCGATCGAGGTCGTACGCAGAGCACATACGCTCATTTACCGGCAACCAATCATGCACGACGATAATTATACAACGAGTGTATTACTCATAAATTCCTCAGCCACTCTTGCGTAGTCTGATGTCCCGGTTTTAGCTGCTTTTAAGCAATTTGATCTGAAGCCAGCGCAGCGACTCGAAGAGATAATAATGCTATTCACCGCGTAAAGCGTCTGTAAACAACAGTAAACGCTGCATAACGCGTTTCCCAGTCGCTGTTTAGGATTCTTTGACGATGTTCCTGGGGTACTATCGTTCCCCGAAAATTACTTTGAAATGAATTAGTCGGCTGTAAATATCATATTTACAGTTCTGCCAACACACTCTGCGATCCGATATTTGTTCCGATTTTTGATCGATTCATCGGCAAGCTAATTTACTAATTAACTGTCGCGCGTTTTATTGATAACCGCGACATGCAACGGTGGCGTACTTCGTCGGCGAGATGGGCTCATTTAATTAATTAAAATGACCGCCACTGAATTGGAACAGCGCTTGTCAAGTACGAATCGATTCAAAGGTCTTTTGAGCACATCTGTTTCAGATGAATCAGATCCTGCAAAGACGGCGCACATCACGTGCAATACAGAAACTACTACTATGTGGTGGCCAGATCGTGTTGATCGAATGTTTTTGGACAATTTTTCAATTGATATGTCTGACATTGATATGTCTGGTGAGCCATTGTATGGCCTCAATTTCTCAACAAATTGTTTGAAAAAATAATCTCGGTAAGGAAATTCTTAATTCGAATAATACATCTGTGAGTAATATTGTGTGTATATGTATGTATCGCATGTATAATCAATCAAAAAGTAAATCGTTGCAAATAATTATTATGGGACAATTCATTGTAAACTTTAGAGATCGTTATCTTCAGCATAATAGTAATATTTTGCTCTCCAAGATTTTATCACGTCACAAAAATAGAGGAATACATATCGCAGGAAGCATTTATAAATGTTATTTTGTTATGACAGTATTTATTTGAAACAAAACACCTGAATAACTCGCTTGTTTTTGATATAATATATATAATATAATATATAATATATGTAATATAATATATAATATATAAAATATGTAATATAATATATAATATATATATAATATATAATATGATGAAACAAAAAGTAAATCGTTGCAAATAATTATTATGGGACAATTCATTGTAAACTTTAGAGATCGTTATCTTCAGCATAATAGTAATATTTTGCTCTCCAAGATTTTATCACGTCACAAAAATAGAGGAATACATATCGCAGGAAGCATTTATAAATGTTATTTTGTTATGACAGTATTTATTTGAAACAAAACACCTGAATAACTCGCTTGTTTTTGATATAATATATATAATATAATATATAATATATGTAATATAATATATAATATATAAAATATGTAATATAATATATAATATATATATAATATATAATATGATGAAACAAAAAATAAATCGTTGCAAATAATTATTATGGGACAATTCATTGTAAACTTTAGAGATCGTTATCTTCAGCATAATAGTAATATTTTGCTCTCCAAGATTTTATCACGTCACAAAAATAGAGGAATACATATCGCAGGAAGCATTTATAAATGTTATTTTGTTATGACAGTATTTATTTGAAACAAAACACCTGAATAACTCGCTTGTTTCCGATAAGATTGACCTTCATATGTCCTCTACGCCTCCACCTGTAAAAAAGATATTAACATTGTATAATGTGCCCCTTGAAATCAAACAACTTTTGTCTGACACTCTTTTTTTCTATTGTCAAAAACAAGCCAGTTATCCAATTGCCTCACCCTGTATACGCAAACGTTATCTCGGTAAGTTTACGTTTATCCAGTCGAGGAATTTGTATCGATTCGACATTTAAACAACAAGAATTCGAATGCCAGGTCCATTGTAGCCGTCGTTCGGAAAAATAACGTCGCCTGACAATTTCAACCGCTCCATTATCATCGCGACGGCTATTTTAGTAAATGCGGAGAGAATGGCGAGTAAACTGACGTACAATGATAGGATAAACCAGGACAATGTAAAAATTCAATGGCTGGTAAGTAATCAAATACTTCTCGTTGTGCGAGATACTATGCCGGCGTATTCAAATAACCCAGAAACGTCGAACGTGTACAATATTCTACCTATTCGTTCTAATGAATAGACGGGAAACACTCTCTACACATAAACCTTACTTTATGAACAGTCTATCAAGCAACTCGCACATAATTCCGTTTACCCTCGGAATCCAATAGCGCAAAATAAACTCTGCGTTCCAGCGTTTCGCGTTAGAATGTACATATTCCCAAATAGAGCCACCAATTTTGAGCGATTTTTAATTAAATGTTTCTAATGAAATGTAAATCGTTAAGATCAAATAATTTGGCGGCACAATATTCTTATTAGAGGAATCCGTAAATAACTGATAATCCACAATAAGATTAATTTAAATTAAATTCATGCATTGTCGTTTTTAAGTATATTAAGTGTATTTAAGTAAGGATATTATGGGTTTTTTTAAATCTACAATTATTGTATATTATTTTTCTAATTAATTTATGATAGGATTTCGAAGTAAATTTTAATAATACTAAATTTGATTAGTAACGAAAAATTACGTCGAGGAACTTCATAAATACAATTATTATGTACATTATATTCATTATTTATCCAATCTTTCTACGGACAATTCATTTTCATTACATAAATACTATCTGCTCTTATTAAAAAATATTAAACCAATTTTCATCGTTTAAGTATATCCATCATTCATCAATACTATCGCATCATTTAAGGAAAAAGCTTATTTCTCTTCAAATGTCGTTTTTTTCGAATCATTTGTAGTAACTTGATCATTTCTGATAATATTAAGGTAATTCGATGTAATTAAAAATAGAAGCACCTACACCAAATATATAAGATCCAAGTTTCTATGCTTTAGTTTTATATACCATTTCACATTGAACCTCGACTGCAAACATTATTAACAGATATTTAGAGATCCTTAATAATAGCTTTTTAAAACAGTTAACAAGAATTACTTATTTAGAATCTGAACTGCTAAATCTTGATTTGAGACCATAGAGCTGCTGGAACACCGGTAATTCACATTCTAGGTTAAATTTTTTAGCGGAACCTTCGGCTTCGTACGCTGATTTGATCTGACGATTTGCATAGTTAGGCAGAATTATAAATGACGAGATATAGGATTACACAAAATAGTCTATAAGAAGTTTCTTTAAACAAAAAACAAACTATTTTGAATTTTATTGAATTTCTTATTTAATTGTCAAGTTCATTCGAGCCGTTTATTTTGAAAGTGGCATAAGTCACTTTGTTTCTAAGTCGATATATTTAAGGGTTTGCGTTCTAACACGTTTAAAAATATGGATGCTAACTTTCGAGAAGATTTACTTGTATTTGTTATCTCAGGATACTGATACTTTTCTCAGTATAAATAATTTCGCATAAACATTAAAAAATCACCACTTTTCATTACGGTAAAGTGACTTATGCCACTTTCAAAATAAACGGCTCATCTATGACAATTATGTGTAAAAGATGATCTATCGAATGACCACCACTACCACGTTTACAGACATCAATTCGAATATTAAAATTTTCCACGATGTTTTGGCATATTTGCTCGTTCAATTCACCCATTTCATTTCTAATGTTGTTTTTAAGATCACGAATTATTGCTGATTTGTGGGCATAAACATTGCTTTTCAAATAACCCCAAAGGAAAAAGTCCAATGGATACTTTCGGATAACCCTGTGTTGAATTTCACTCATTATTGTACGAAATTATCAAGACANAATATTTTGCTCTCCAAGATTTTATCACGTCACAAAAATAGAGGAATACATATCGCAGGAAGCATTTATAAATGTTATTTTGTTATGACAGTATTTATTTGAAACAAAACACCTGAATAACTCGCTTGTTTCCGATAAGATTGACCTTCATATGTCCTCTACGCCTCCACCTGTAAAAAAGATATTAACATTGTATAATGTGCCCCTTGAAATCAAACAACTTTTGTCTGACACTCTTTTTTTCTATTGTCAAAAACAAGCCAGTTATCCAATTGCCTCACCCTGTATACGCAAACGTTATCTCGGTAAGTTTACGTTTATCCAGTCGAGGAATTTGTATCGATTCGACATTTAAACAACAAGAATTCGAATGCCAGGTCCATTGTAGCCGTCGTTCGGAAAAATAACGTCGCCTGACAATTTCAACCGCTCCATTATCATCGCGACGGCTATTTTAGTAAATGCGGAGAGAATGGCGAGTAANATAAGATTGACCTTCATATGTCCTCTACGCCTCCACCTGTAAAAAAGATATTAACATTGTATAATGTGCCCCTTGAAATCAAACAACTTTTGTCTGACACTCTTTTTTTCTATTGTCAAAAACAAGCCAGTTATCCAATTGCCTCACCCTGTATACGCAAACGTTATCTCGGTAAGTTTACGTTTATCCAGTCGAGGAATTTGTATCGATTCGACATTTAAACAACAAGAATTCGAATGCCAGGTCCATTGTAGCCGTCGTTCGGAAAAATAACGTCGCCTGACAATTTCAACCGCTCCATTATCATCGCGACGGCTATTTTAGTAAATGCGGAGAGAATGGCGAGTAAACTGACGTACAATGATAGGATAAACCAGGACAATGTAAAAATTCAATGGCTGGTAAGTAATCAAATACTTCTCGTTGTGCGAGATACTATGCCGGCGTATTCAAATAACCCAGAAACGTCGAACGTGTACAATATTCTACCTATTCGTTCTAATGAATAGACGGGAAACACTCTCTACACATAAACCTTACTTTATGAACAGTCTATCAAGCAACTCGCACATAATTCCGTTTACCCTCGGAATCCAATAGCGCAAAATAAACTCTGCGTTCCAGCGTTTCGCGTTAGAATGTACATATTCCCAAATAGAGCCACCAATTTTGAGCGATTTTTAATTAAATGTTTCTAATGAAATGTAAATCGTTAAGATCAAATAATTTGGCGGCACAATATTCTTATTAGAGGAATCCGTAAATAACTGATAATCCACAATAAGATTAATTTAAATTAAATTCATGCATTGTCGTTTTTAAGTATATTAAGTGTATTTAAGTAAGGATATTATGGGTTTTTTTAAATCTACAATTATTGTATATTATTTTTCTAATTAATTTATGATAGGATTTCGAAGTAAATTTTAATAATACTAAATTTGATTAGTAACGAAAAATTACGTCGAGGAACTTCATAAATACAATTATTATGTACATTATATTCATTATTTATCCAATCTTTCTACGGACAATTCATTTTCATTACATAAATACTATCTGCTCTTATTAAAAAATATTAAACCAATTTTCATCGTTTAAGTATATCCATCATTCATCAATACTATCGCATCATTTAAGGAAAAAGCTTATTTCTCTTCAAATGTCGTTTTTTTCGAATCATTTGTAGTAACTTGATCATTTCTGATAATATTAAGGTAATTCGATGTAATTAAAAATAGAAGCACCTACACCAAATATATAAGATCCAAGTTTCTATGCTTTAGTTTTATATACCATTTCACATTGAACCTCGACTGCAAACATTATTAACAGATATTTAGAGATCCTTAATAATAGCTTTTTAAAACAGTTAACAAGAATTACTTATTTAGAATCTGAACTGCTAAATCTTGATTTGAGACCATAGAGCTGCTGGAACACCGGTAATTCACATTCTAGGTTAAATTTTTTAGCGGAACCTTCGGCTTCGTACGCTGATTTGATCTGACGATTTGCATAGTTAGGCAGAATTATAAATGACGAGATATAGGATTACACAAAATAGTCTATAAGAAGTTTCTTTAAACAAAAAACAAACTATTTTGAATTTTATTGAATTTCTTATTTAATTGTCAAGTTCATTCGAGCCGTTTATTTTGAAAGTGGCATAAGTCACTTTGTTTCTAAGTCGATATATTTAAGGGTTTGCGTTCTAACACGTTTAAAAATATGGATGCTAACTTTCGAGAAGATTTACTTGTATTTGTTATCTCAGGATACTGATACTTTTCTCAGTATAAATAATTTCGCATAAACATTAAAAAATCACCACTTTTCATTACGGTAAAGTGACTTATGCCACTTTCAAAATAAACGGCTCATCTATGACAATTATGTGTAAAAGATGATCTATCGAATGACCACCACTACCACGTTTACAGACATCAATTCGAATATTAAAATTTTCCACGATGTTTTGGCATATTTGCTCGTTCAATTCACCCATTTCATTTCTAATGTTGTTTTTAAGATCACGAATTATTGCTGATTTGTGGGCATAAACATTGCTTTTCAAATAACCCCAAAGGAAAAAGTCCAATGGATACTTTCGGATAACCCTGTGTTGAATTTCACTCATTATTGTACGAAATTATCAAGACAGACGTGAAATTGAGTTACAAATTCGAAGATACATTGCTCTATGATCTCAATGTTTCTTAGATTTTACAATTCAATTTAACATCTGTCCTTTGTAATTTCGTACGATAACGAGTGCGATCCATTCTTGTCATTCATAATTCTGCCTAACCATGCAAATCGACGTGCGAAGCCAAAGGTTCCGCCAAAAAATTGAATCTGAAACGTGGACCGCCGGGGTTGCAGCAGCATTTTCCGCATCATCCGCCCGCGGACGAGTGTTCTATTAAGCAATCAATTAGCGATCCTCGATCGACGGTGAGGCGTACTCGTGAAAAGTGGGCGTCGAGACCCGCTAAACCCGCAAAGCACACAATAAACGCCGCTTCATTCTGTATTCTTCTCTTATGCAAAGCGTCCCTCCGCGAGACACGCTAATATTTTCGCAAAAATCGTCGATACATTCGAAGGGACAAGCCTAGACTGCGAGCCAACGTCGGAATGCATAATTCAAAACTTAGACGTAGTAGACGAGAAGAAATTCCGTCGAGATGAATGAATTCAATAGGGGGAGGGGGGGGCGGTCGAGAGCCACCGGCTGCTGCATATACGTATCATAGAGAAAAACCGCGGTATTTAATTGCGGAAATCGGATTTCCCTGTTACACAGAATGGTACGTTCGAGCCAGTTTTTAACCTACTTCCTCTCTCGCGCACGAGAAACTCATACACAGTTCGAGATTTAAATGAATTGTGTTTTAATGGGTTCGTTCCGGACCCGCGCGCGCGGCTTTCCTCGGGAAGAAACTTATTGCAGAATTTCTGTATTCCGCGCGATGGAAAGTTGACCCGCCGATGAGCGCGCGGTACGACGGGATCGGATCCCGATTATGGAGATTGACCTCCTTTGAAATCCGCGGCAATTAAGAGCCTAGGACCACGCACACGGCCAATTGAAATTATCGCGGATATGGGAACTGAATCGAGATGAGATTGAAAATACACACGTCGCGTAAGTACGAACAGTTTTTTTCCCGACGGAGTTGCGAAACTTCTGAATCGTTTAATTTCCGTAACTATGCGAACGTGTTTAGCGGACCGGTCCAAATCTATTTACTTCAATTAACCCGTTGACGGAGAATATTTTTGATCTACTTAACTAGGTCGTTTCAGAACTGTAAATCAATTTTAAAAACTTATTTTCGCTCGATTCTCGGGAGAAAATTGACACCGTTCGAAGCCCGTGGATGGTTTCGCGCATGCAAAGTTTATACGATTGAAAGCTGTTCTTTTTGTTCATTCGGAATCTGCGTCGGACACGAACGCCAGAGTTAGGGGCTTCATTATTACTAGACTGTAGCTTCACGGATGTGTGAAAATTGTTTGCGTCAATTGCAAGGGACAGGGGCCAAATAGAACTTCGGCCTCTTAGATTCTGTTAATCGTTCTATTATTGTCGTGTAATTAGACCGCAAATTAATAATCAATTGCTACAAATATTATAAAAATGCAACAACTGTAATTGAATATATGTTCGTCCATTTTAAATGCTGATCATTTATTCGATTTCCACGTTTAAAAATGTGAACTCATTTCTCGTGTGTTGTAATCTATCGTTAATCAATTTTTGTTTAAGAGGGCACATATTTTTGACAAAACGAAAACAGATCTTTTCAAAAATGTCCAACTAAAATGTCCTTAATAGTAATATTCTTCCAGAATGCAATCAAAATTTGATTTGAAAACTTATGAAATTATATAATTATATATAATTATATATAATATATATATATATATATATAATAATATAATTCAGAAGGACCGATTTCAATAAAATTCTGAAATAATATTTTCGAGACTATCACGTAGTCTTTGACGAAGCTGCTTCTCGATTTTCTCTTTCTTCAGCTGATAAAGAAAAACTGCATAATGGAGTTGAAACTGCTGTTATTCTTTGCAATATCGATTTTTCTCAAATCGACTTGAATAAAGACTAACTGTTTCTGCCTGGTTCGATGTGAATTTTTAAAAATTTCTACGAGATAAATTTTCGCGATAGATAAACGCTTGAAATTTTCAGAATTTTTCAATAAACCCTCCATTCTTCATCTGCGGAAAATTTATTAATTTAACCTTTTATAATATGCAACCCCTTAACACTTTGATTGCTACGTCGATCGATTCCATTGACATAATTTTTTTTTATCGGACTTGAAAATCGATTTAAAAAAATCAGAGAAAACCTTATAAATAAATCACGTTTCGTTAGGATGTACAAGGTGCAGCAAGGTTGCAAAATTAGAGTAACTTTTATCTTCCCTCGTAATATCTCAATAAATAAATTGTTCTAATTTTGAATGCCGATACGATCTTCCCGATATAACAGCGAATGCATTAAGCTTAAGCTGAGCACAATTAAAATGCAGCTAGAGCACATTTATAATTCATGGTTAAATCTGATCCAATCTTCCAGGGCAAGGTCGGGTGGCCATAATGCTATCCGATTCATTATCTCGATACGATCTTACGTTTCATGCGTCCGCAATTATATTTATACCCGAAAGACGCGGCGCAGTGTAATGAAACTGTGCTATTCGCTGTCGAAGGTAAAGAAAGTAATACTTCGTCGAAACAGTCGCGGGACCATTAATTTCAGCGCGTCGATTCGTCGCCGTAAATCGCATCCTTCTTCCACAGCTCTCTGGGAGTTTATATTCCATCCGCGACAGCGTCGATTTATCGTTACGAATTCTTCAACGGTCAAAAAAATTGTCACCGAAATGTGCGAATTTACTGTGCTGTAAACAAACCCTGGTTCCGGCGAATCGATGAGGAGAACTGTGCTGCACAATGATACACAAAAACCTACAATCTATAACTTCGAACGAAATTTATGAAAATCGGCGCTCTTATGGTCCTGACGTTGCTGGATTCGAATACGTTATGAAAAGTGCAATATTCAAATTTCAAAGGCTAACAAGATCTAACCTTGGCATAAGCATCGTTTTCAACTTATTTCTTGCGAATATCAATGATTCATTCCGATATTTGGCTATAATCGTATAATTGGAATATCTAATTTAAAATGGCGATATTAATTTCGAGCTATTCTTGCAATTAATTATGGCAATTATGGTAAAAAACCTTGGCATAAGCATCGTTTACAACTTATTTCTTGCGAATATCAATGATTCATTCCGATATTTGGCTATAATCGTATAATTGGAATATCTAATTTAAAATGGCGATATTAATTTCGAGC